TACAATAATATGAACACAACAATAATTGTGTTTTGTGGCAAAATTTGATTCAAAAAAGATCAATTGTATTTTAACTATAATATAAACAAATTATATTAAATTCACCGACATCAGAACCAAGCTCAACATAGAAGACTATCTGGAAGAAGCCCTAAGTCCCCAGCCAAGCAACATTGAAAAATTAATCAGTTATTTAAAACAAACTAAACTATATCAAATTGTTTAACATTACCATACTATAACATATAATTGTTTAATATTACCTTTGTTTTGTATATATTATTGTTAATGATTCATTCTTGTGTAAAAAAATATTAATGTTAAAGGCCAATAACCTTTGTTGTTGAGGCTCATTAAAAAAAAAAAAAACCAATGATAATAATCTATTTTGAATAATAATAGTTAATARTCTAATATCCAAAAATGTACTGCTTTGATGTCATTATGACAACACTCAACAGTGTTATAAACGTATAATATAAAATATTTTAATACCTTGTTGAAACTGGGTGTACTTTGTAAAGTCGGATTATGAAGGTAATATTATATTGCATTTAAGTTTTCGTTGTGTATATAGTTTCCAAAGTGAAACTGTCGTTGAACATTAATTAGAAGGTAATATTATATAATGCATTAATCCATTTGTTTATTTATTCTATTAATGTGGACTGTATATATTATTTCAATAAACAATATTATATAAATTATAGGTATATGGATTATGCGTCTTTTTTAGTGTTGATTATTGATTAATGGGTATTACTACTTAATACCTCTATAAGAACTGAGCTATATTTTATTTCAATGAAGATAATTTATAGCCAGAACGTGACTAAAAATTAGATTCCTCAATTTTTTGAGATCCCCTTTTGTAGGTATCTCAAATGATAGATATTAAATATTTTGTATTTTGGAATTTTAAATACATTCTTATGATTTCCAATTTAAAAATGTTCTAATATCATACTAGAATACGATTGACAGTTCAACGATAAACTACCTATTATAAATAAGTTTTGTATTTGCAGATAAAATTTAAAATGTTTAAGTTAATTGTGAGTATTAGGTTAAGTGGATGTTAAGATAATTATCTCAAAGTGTATAAATAAATAGAGAATGTACCCAGTACGAGCTTTATGTTTATGGTTTAAAACTGTTTAAACAACGGATATTATTTGGTATAAAATATGCAATACATAACAAGCAATTTTAGTAACACGTAACTTAACTTAGTATGGAACCCCACAAACCCAACAAACTGTGACTTTTTACTATCTCAGAGTAAACAAAATATTTTCAGAGTAAACTGCACTACAGCAGAATATTATGATAATAATAAATAGTTAAAATATGGTTGAGAGCGTTTAATTTTTGTAAATACCATTTGTTAAATGTTGCAGAAATTGTATTTATTTATTTTTGTTTTCATATAATTTAGAATATAATGGGTTTGTACTAACTTAAATATATATATGTCAATGTGAAGATGGGCTGTAGCACACGCATACGTTCGTCTATGTTGGATTTCAACCGTTTGAATACTTAACGCCTAACGGTACGTTATACACAAAGTTGCTTGTCGGAAAGGCCGTATAATTATTGTTCTTTTGATACTTGTACGAAAATTTAATTGAGTGCGTTTCAAATGTCTGAATCGTTTTGTGCTATATCACGGTGGACGAAGGATAAGTGTAAACCGTTTGAAACCGCGCACGGTGCATTAATCGTAACAATGATCACATGTCGTAAATCATTCAACTAAAATGATCGTGTTTAATTGGATTTAATGGTTGATGGATAAACGCTAACTACTGAAGAAGCAGAACTAACCTAGTCAATGTACTTATAGAGCCAACTTATCGCCATCGTTTTTTTATTTATTACACTCAATACAATATTACACAGTATACCTATATCATATCATATTCGTGTATATAAATATAGCCTATATTGCCAATGTAATAAGATTTATTGTGAAATTTTCGGAAATTCGATTGTTTACTTATAATAGTAATAATAATATTTTATATAATCGTAATTATTATTACGACGCGTGAAAGACAATAATAGTTGCGTTGTATACATGATATTAAGTGTGGCTATTAAGTGACTATGGGTTGCTATAAGTTCGAAGCGAGTTCTGCCCGGTAAGCGAGATAAGGGTCGAAGAATTTAGTTCATTATAGCCCGGTCGCTCATGTCAGGAATACTTAGCTAAGTAACTGTAACAGTATTGTGAACAGGCCACTGACTGAGTTTAATCCAAATTATATAAAAGAGACCATGTAAAAAAAATATAAATACCGATAACTCCCCTCCCCCAAATCCCCCAATTATTTACCTACTACTTGGTGATGGTGGTTCATACTCAATTATCACGCTTATTAGGTTAGCGTCGTAAAGCATATCATCTAGGGGATTATTATTATGTTCGTTATAAGGTGGTGATGTAGAGGCTGGTACCCACCTATATAATATTATGGTTTTTCTTCAATTTTTACTATTTATTTCACGTTTGAAGAATACATTTGCTTTGAATATTTTACATCTTGGCTGACATAAGTATAATACCAGTTTAAATAGTGCGGTCTCGTTCAACACATTTTACCGTATGTATTTAAATGTATTGTTATTATATAGATAAATAACCGAGGAAATGATTTGTTTCAATTCAAAYGATCAATTCAATAAATTGAAATGTATTTGCAGACTTAATATGATTGTAAAATTGCTTTCGAATAACCTTGAGTAAAATCTTAAATTGTTTATAATTAAATTTGTTGTTTTAAATTTTATATATTTATAAAAAAAAAAATTGATTGGTTTTATATCGATTTAAGCTTAATTAAAATAAAGTAATGCTTACAGAAACATAATATACCTAAGTTAAATACAAATGTTTGTGCTTCTAAAATTGTTTACGAATTACGAGTTTTAAAAAAGTATAGATTTCCAATATTATGCAATGTTTTAATTGGAAAAAATAACTTAAAATGATGGTTTCAGAATAAAAGTATTAAATAGCTTAAAAGGTGGTTTGGAATCGAATTCTACACTGAACAAGCATGTCTAATTATTTTGGTCTTACTTTGATATACATATAGGAATATAGTAATTCAATAAAAAAACTCGTCCTTTAGCCGTTCGTTTATAGATTTAAAAATATGTTGACTTTACAACGTAAACTTTAAAACTTTTAGGAACCACTTATACGCTGCATTCTACATTTTTCGTATAATATAGCACTTTGAAATGTCTCTGATTTTGTCAGGAAAAACTTTATAAAACACATTATRTACTTGTACGYGAACGACGTGTTAAATCCTCTTTGCTGTATGTCAACTCCAGTGGTTAATATGTTATTTAACTATGATTTTTAATGATGGTGACAGGAGATCCCTATTGGTAAGGGACAGGGAGGAGTGTTTCCCATTAAATAGTTTTTAAATCAATTAGAATTAAAATAAAATATATTTCGTTTGCAATATTTATCGATATTATATTATATATATGATATGAAAATAAATAATAGGTAGGTAATTATTTTTATGCGAAACTTTCTGCTAGTCTCTTAGTAGTCTCTGTTAGTAACTTGAATGGTTGACCACTGATAAATTATTACTTTTTTCACATTTATTTATTTATTTTTATTGTTCGGGATATTGGCATCTAGTTATAAGCAATTATTGGGTTTCAATTAAAATAATACAACTTCCTCACTAATTATTGATGTCATAATGAATACATATCTTGATTTATGAATGAACCTAGAACTCCGACTATTTGTGCGCATTYTTTTATAATTATCATTAGTTTTCAGTTCAAGCATGCTCAGTAATAACATGACCAAGGCTTTAGTTTTCAGTCATTTTGGCATTAAATTAAATACACAGGTGACAAGCATGACGGTCATGGCTACATCCACAGTAAATGATCTAAGGTTTAAACAATCTACATTTCTATATCTCACCAGTCGTTATACTATTTAACTTTAAACTGTTAAGCTTTTTAATTTATGGYCCAATAGTAATTTCGGACATTAAATATTTTCAGTTATTTATTTCTTTGTGTAGGTAACAAATTATTATTGAGTTTTTATTTATTACATTATATCTTATGTGCATGTTTTGTTGGTTTTACGATATAATAATATAGGAGTGACAATTGTAAGTAATATTGTACTGTGTTGTGTATAAGAATTATGTAAAATAGTGTTATTTCGCGTGATATTTCGCGTGATATTTTGAAATATATATTTTTATATAGTAATGAGTTCTTGATTATTTTGGTATTTTAATTTTAAAAATAATAATAATGGTTTGATTTTAATTTTTAACATTATATTTAAAAAAAAGTCGCTTAATTCATCGTTTTTGGGTTGAAGAYAAAATTTAAAATAAATGTTTAAATGTATTGTACCATTTTGTTTAACTAGGTATTTAGTTAAACTACCTACATGTTGATGACAAGCGCGCTTGAAGGAAGGAAGGTATATTCCTTGCAGATGTAAACTCGAAATAATGATAGTGAAAATTCTTCATATTTTTAACTCTTGTTTTTCATAGCTTGCAACCACACAATTTAAATCGGCCAGTTATACTATKTCTGTAGTGTTGTACTCACGTTCCACCAGAGTCTCTAGCTGTTAAACGCGTTTTTCTTGTCCTTTGTTTACTTCCCTTTCGATAAAAGTAATGACTTATTTTTCATAATCTCATGCGTTGTCCTTTTAAATGTAAAAAACCTGCAGTCTTAAATTAAGTATTTTTATTTTTAATAAATTATCACACGTGTTATGATCCATGTATAATGTATAGTGTTGCGGAATTTTAAGCGCGTACAAATTAATAAAATAAATTAACATACAGAATAAAAAAATTAAATTTTTAACAATCATGAATAAACTACTTTTCTTGACAGCAGCAGCATTTTATTTTATACATATGTCCGGAAGCGGATTTTCAATCATGGTGAAATTTCAGTACTCTTTTCTGTTTCAGTTATGGTGGTGTGTGCCAATCCGTTAACGGTCAGAGAAATACTGTTGGCCGCCGAAGAACTCAACATGATTGATAGTGGAGAATACGTGTTTTTCAACATTGAGCTGTTCAGCAGGTAATTCATCTTTTGTTAATGCGGTGTGTTAGAGACGGTTTATTAGGTGGCAAAATAATGTGTTTATTATTAAGTAGTTAAGGTTGGTAGATCGGATAGATTTTTTCACGGCATAAAAAATACGTAGCTTAAAAAATTAATTTGTTTAAAACCTATGGCAAATGACAATATGACGTATATTTATTGATTTTATTGCATAGCCCAATGACTTGGTMTAATATGTATATTAAATTAAAATGTTTTAATATTCGTACATAATATCTATTTATTAATTATAAAATTTCAATATTTTAAATTATATTTTATTAAAAATGGCTGTTTAATATTTAAAAAAAAAACTAAATGTTAATCTAATTTTTATCTGTAGGTAGGTATATATTTTTATAATTTTATAATATATGAGAATTCTCTTGACATCATAATTCTGAGACAAAAGATTAATTCATTTGCTAAGAAAATTGAAATAAATGTACTTAAGTTCATACGTTTGACTGGATATGAAGAAAAATATAATGGTCTAAACATTCTGGAATAATAGCTTGAAACTTTACATCCAAGGGCTTATATTTCATTAAGGATTTTTATATTGGATGAACATCTAGAGAAGATAGTGAACTAAATTAGATTTTATTATTAATAATAGGACAGAGGGAATTTTTATAAATTATAAAGTTTTTATTATGTTATTATTGACAGTAAACCAAAAGTAATTGGATTAAAAAGTAATGTTGAATGGAAAGAAAATATTTAATGTAGTTGTTTAGTGTCTAAAAAAATTCGATAAAATTATGTACGAGTAAATAATTGAAAAATTTGTGAAATTTGAAATTAAATTGCTGTGAAAAAAATGTGTAAGTATGCGAGAGTAATATCATGGTTCAAAACTTCTAAAGAATTTTCAAATTAGAATAATATTGTTTTGAATACAATATTAGCGTAGGTATCATATTACTTTTTTTTTTTCTTAATTGTTTGAGGCATTAACTGCATGATTATTAGCCGGCGTTACATATTTAATTTACATTAATTTCTTACATACTTGCTTAATTTCTACTTATATTAAAAATTATGGTTTAATAAAAATCATAATTTTATTGTACATCGACCACTCAGCTGAACATGATCATCGATTTTTTTATCAAATATCTTGGCCACTTTACTCTCCATGCAAAATTGAGATTTAAATAAAAATCAATGGGATAAGAACAATTGAAGACGAACAACACTTTTAAAATATATTTTAAAATTCTATGCGGATAACGATTCTTCCCGAAATGCCTATTAACAAGACTTAGTTTTGGTGTGTTTGAAGTTTAGAGACTAAGTGAAAATGAGATCTGAGGAGGAAGTTTATATATATATATTGACCATATTTGCTGGGCCACAATTGGTTTTTGTTTGTCTGCACCGTTTCATATGAACCCATCCATAAACTACAGGGTTAAATAAGAGACCCTTATAATTTAAAAAACAACTGAAGGTTTGATTGTGTAAGTCTTTATAAAACAGCATTATAAATATAATAATAGTTTGATACTAAGAGCTAATAAAAAAAAATATATTTATAAATAATAATAATTGTCATCATCATAATTTTGTTTTTTTATTTTAATTTCATAAAGCAAAATATTTTTAAAGTACTTTGATACATAAACTTTAGGTTTGATGTAATAGTCTTAATTGTTGTGAAAGCCAATGGCCAATGTCGCTGAGGTTCTAATAATAATACAAAAAATAAAAATAAACATCAGGTTTAAAATGAGTTGATAATGTTAGTTCCAAGTATTTAAAGTTTAGATTAGCGAAATAATGAGTATTTTGTGGCAGGGGTACCCCTGTGCCGTACCACTTACTATCTTGCATTATAATACTCCWCTTATAATAAACATTAAGTATCTATTTATATACTCAACTGATTGACAAATCGGTTAAATAGTCCGAAAAAAAATATTATCCGTCTGAATGTAAAATTATAAGTCTACGTTACCTTAAAACTATGTGAAAAATGTTTACAATGAAGTATTGTCAATTTTTGTTTAATATCTTTTTTCCACAACATCAATTTATGTTAATAAATAATTAAAAAATGTTGAAACTTTTCAAAACAATGAGTATAGAAACTTAAATCGATCACATTGTATACCTTTTTGAAACAGTCGACGTAAGATAAGTAGTTTATTGGCCGCAGATAACATTCAAGTAGCGCACACGCAAGCTTGCTGTAAAGAAATTGCCAAAACCTGTCATCTTTTATAAACACGAGCCAATACCAGTATTTAGTGAAAATAACGTAAATCAACCGATAAATACGTTCAGATTCAAAGTTAAAAAATATAGAGAGGATATCTTATTCTAACGTATAATGGACAGGTGTCTCTAACGATATATTTTACTTTCAATTTACTTTCGAAAAAAATCTCATAGGCAGTATTTTTCTGGATTTCTGAAAAAAACTTTAAAATATAAAATTTGTATACGTAAATTTGTATATGTTTATACCCATTTCTATGAAATAATAAATGTTTTATTGGCCAATCTACGTATCTCGAATATTAGAATATTTGAACGTGTGGTTAAATGACACTGACATTAATGAATCAAAATTAGGTATTTTTTTAATTTAAAGAATTTCGCAATAAGTTATAAGTTAAAACGTTATTGTATAAAACTATAAAAGGTACCTAACTAAAAAATATCGGTAATATAAAAAATACTTTTTAAATAAAATTCAAAATTTTTTAAAGAAAATTACTCTGATAAAATTAACAAAATATACCTTTCTTTAAAAAAAAGGGGGAATAAGGAATAGAACTGCTGTAGTAAATGACACGAGTTCAAGTGTTCAATTCAGAGTAATGTATGTGTTAAATTTAAATCCAATGTTAAATTTTTGTACACAAAAACGATTTATATATTAATAATTATATTTTCTGATAAATATGTATATAAGTAATTAAATTTATTATTAGTAAACCAGAAGATAGAATTAGTTTTTGCCGAAAACATTGTCATTGAGTATATAAAATATTATAATATATGTAGAAATCTCCATGAATAATATTTTTGAAATTACAACAAAATATAAAAATATGTGATTCCCTGTTATAGTAAATTAATATTTAATTTAATCCAAATTTGAAATTCTATTTAAAAAAAAATATATATTAATGAATATTTTTGGATATTTTCAGGTATTAAATATTTATGAGAACCTTACCTATATTCAATTTTCAATCTTTTTGATTACTCGAAAAATTTTGTATCCATATCAAACAAATTTTTTTTTAAACTTTTAAGTCAATAAATAGCTTAAAAATAGTCTATGATGTAAAATTCATTTTTATAATTAAAAGTATCAATATCCTGATTTTTATGTTCTTCCCGATTTTTTACATTTGACTTTCTTGAATTATTTATAATTATTATTAACCAATTTGCTACTAGAAACTATCGTATGAGTTGAAAATTGAAGTACTTTTATTGTTTTAAAAAGTCATAACAAACACATGCAATAAAAATACCAACATCATTGGCAAATCAATACATTTATCAAACTCCACTTGGAATCTAAAATCTAAAATAACAAACTATAATTAATTGATGGCTCGTCACGCACTTATAAAATGTTCGTTAAAACTGTTTCATGTGAAAAAGAGCCACTCTGGCTACTGTTCATAATTGAAAAACCAAATGTTTATATATACAGATGTCTTCATAAGACAATATTTGCAATGTCGTAACGTTTTTATAAAAAAAAAGTTATTGAGTTTAAAAAAACATCAAACGTTAGTTTAATGGTTTAACGGATTTTAAAACGTAATATCTTTTWTATATTAATAATTATTATGCTAAATATATATATATATATATAACAATTAAAAACTGTACGATACTGGAAATATTTTTTGTGCATAAATTTGGTTTCTAAACTATGACTATAACTTTTGAAGTTATAGTTTTCACTCAAAACATTTTTTTTTTTTTTATACTAACAATGGTTAGGTTACTGATAGTGTACTGGATGTATACCATGTGATTGCATTCTTGATTATAAGTTACTTTGAATTAGTTTTAAATTTATTTAATATATAAAATATAGTATCGAGTTGTTAATTGTTTAAAATAAATCTAACTATAGCATAATGGTTCAATAAAAATAATATTTCTACCTATATTAATTTATTTAAAAAAATGTAGCCTGATTTTTTTTAAATCATAATTTTTATTGTAAGCCTATATATAAACCGTTCACGTATCACCATTTATTTCAAGAAAATTATCATTTTTATACAATTTTTAAAATGTATACATTTATTTTGGAGACATTTTTTCGAATATTTTTAGTCTTCTTGGTAAACTTGTCACTGGACTATGGTTTTTATTGGAAGCATTTTACATTTGACTTTAAACTATTTAAGTGACTAACTATTTGAAATAATATATTATTTAGTTTGTATGAGTTCAAATACATAAACTTTCGTATAAATTTATTCGAGTTATTTAAAAAGTCTTTGTACCAAACTATCATTATTTTTATTGGCAATTCTAACATCATACTATTAAAGTTTTTATATGTTCTTCTACAACTTTAGTCTCATTTAAACTTTACAAATAAATTATAATTACGTTCTAGTATATTAATTCGTAATTATCTACTATCCACGTTATAATTACTATGGCTGCTAACTTTATAGTACAGATGATTGTTGATATGTTTTTCTGAACTTGTCAATTTTTGGTAGGTACCTATATAACTATATAAATTATTCAATGTCATTTTCCTCTTTTAAACATAAATTTTGGTCACTATATTTGTATTGAAAAGAATTTYGATAAAAAATCAGGATCAAAGATTATTATAATATAGGTACTTCATACATATTTTTTAATATTATACTATCATTTTTTTTTCGTCATCATAATTTTATCGTAAAAATTAGTTCTGTTTATTAAAAAAATAACATGGATTGCGATTAAGCTATTTAAAATTGAAAAATGTT